ATGAAATTGTTACTCAGAAGGTTAGTAGAGTGGCTATTTTGTCTTTTCATCGCTACACTTATTACAGCTGCTTTGTATAATATGTGGTTGACTTCCCTTAAATTGTTTCAGATGGAGGACTTAGTGGCTAATAATTCAGGAGATGATGAAATTCAGGTACATGATTTCGTGGTGCTCAAGTGGTTATAGTGCAGAATCGTTATCCGTTTGTCACCTAGAATCAATGAAATTACAAGTGAATTTGTAAAATGTTACTTAATTTCGGGAAATGGATTTGTTTTTTTTTTTGTTCCAGTTGTGCCTATCTGGTTTCATTCGATATCAATTTAATAACTAGTGCATACCTCATTGATTTTTCAGGCTGTAGTTTCTGAAGTTCCTGAAATCATCCTAAGATGTATAAGCAGAGATGAAGCAGCTTTGGCTGTAGCTCAAAAAGCTTTCAAGGCTCTTTATGAGAATGCATCAAGTAACCTTCACGTCAGTGCTAACCTAGCAATTCTTGTGGCAATTCGTGATGTTTGCAAGCTTGTCGTCAAAGAACTTACTAGTTGGGTACGTTTACTAACTTTTCAAATATTCATAATTTTACGATATTTCACACTTTTTAATGTACTATATAGTTCAGTTGCTTCTGATATTACTCCAAAACCAAAAGTATGCCACTATTACCTGACATAACACATATCATATAAGTACTATATCGAACCTATTTTCCGTAGTTAAAGCTAGGGATGAAATATGACAGGATCCTCAAATGGTGACTGATACAAGTTATGTTCTTTAGGCATTTATAGTTATTATCATGTAACTTTCTTGAACTCTTGACACAGGTGATTTATTCAAAGGAGGAGCGGAAGCTCAACAAAGATATTACTATCGGTCTTATTCAACGCGAGTTGCTTAACCTAGCAGAGTACAATGTCCACATGGCGAAGCATCTTGATGGAGGGAGAAACAGTACGCTGAACTGCATATACTTGTTTATGTCCTTGTTTTTTTAATGGTAAATGAACGTGGCTAACTAGTTGTTTGCTGTGCAGAGAGCGCCACTGACTTTGCTGTTTCGCTACTCCAATCCTTAGTTACTGAGGAGTCGAGTGTCATTTCAGAGCTCCACAGTCTTGTTGATGCGCTGGCAAAGGTTGCACTTCTAACATTCTTTGGCGTTTGCTATACTCTTATTTTGTTATCAATCATACGTGTAGGCGTGAAAAAGTTCAACTAGGGATTAGGTTCAAATATTGTTTCTTATGCTCAAATCTGCCGCGTAATACTTCTTATTATAGAACGCCAACTGACAGATATCATGGTTATATTTAAATATTGTTTTTATACTGATATGTTTTGCATGTTTAAGAGAATTGGCATTATCATTAGGTGATTTTACAACTTTTTTCCCCTTGTTTTGGTTGTAGCTTGCCTCAAAATCCGGATCTCCTGAGTCATTGCAACAGCTAATTGACATCATACGAAATCCAGTTACTAACACGGCTGGTCTCTCTGATAGTGCAACCGGAAATGAGAACAATGATAGGCAATCAAAGGAAGAAAAGGTTTCAGATTATTTTATGACATGATGTTAGTTATAATCAGACTGTAAATTCATTTGACATGTTAGCTCTGTTGTCAGGTTGTGTGTAATACCACTGCTAACACAGATGAGAATACTAGCTTGGAATATGTGGAATCAGATCCTGCGGGTTTCCGGAAACGGGTAATTTGTCTACATGTTACTACTAGCTTGCCCTGCTTCAATATGGATGATTTAGTTTTATTTTTTGGTTGGGTAATTTGGAATTGCATTAGTCTATTTTCACTTGCAAAAGGGTAAATCTAAAGCTAAAATGTTTTCATCAGCACAATCAAGTTGCAAACTCCAAATAAGTTTACAAATGAAACGTTTGCGTGAAGTACGCATGTTTTTCTTCATAACTATTTGTTTTGTTGATGAATTTTTAATTTTCCACTTTAATAATATATTCCCCATTCAATATACATATATATGTGTTTACATATTTTTGGTATCTCTTCAGTTCTATGTTGGTTTATACATCTCTCGTACGTGTTGTTTATCGTTTTTCTTTCTTTGTGCTGATTCCGCAGGTAACCACGCTTTTTAAAAGTTGGTATCAAATCTGCGAAGTTTCTGGTGCAAATGAAACCGCTTGTTCACAGTATGTCTTGCATTTGCATCAAAGTGGACTACTTAAGGGAGATGATACAACAGAGAGTTTTTTCCGAATTCTTCTGGTGATTTTCTTTTTAAGTTTTCTTTATAGGATCATCGCTTTCAAAATCTTGAGAGGCCTCATTATTAACTTGGGTGTTCCTTTCTATAGGAACTATCTGTTGCTCATTGTATTTCTTCTGAAGAAATCAGTTCTGGCACTGTGCAATCTACTCAGCAAGCTCAGAGTCCGTCGTTCCTAATCATCGATATTTACGCAAAGCTTGTTTTCTCAATCTTGAAGGTAAAGTCTCATGAATATTTATGGCGTGCTACATGGATATTTAAGTCCAAAATACATTGCCGGCTAAAGTTTTTGTTTGTTTGTTTATGTTTCTTTTGACAATCTGTTCAGTATTTCCCTGAACAAGAGCCTAGCAGCAAGTTATTTCTTCTTTCGGAGGTTAGAAACACATACTTATTAGCGGAAATGAATCCGACTTTTACTATCACTGTTGAGAAAGTTATAGTGGGTTTGATATTTGATTACTTGTTGCAGATCATGGGTGTCACTGTGAGATCTATTCAAAAGGATGCAGAAGAGAAAAAGTCATCATTCAATCCAATACCATATTTTAGATTGTTCATCAACTGGCTGCTGGACTTATGCTCCCTGGACCCTGGGACTGATGGTGCAAACTTTCAGGTGCGTTTAGTTTTCCTTGGAGTAGTTGCTATCTGTTTGCTATCACTAACATGATAACATTCATCGTTTGCTGCAGGTTCTCACGGCTTTTGCCAATGCATTCCACGCATTGCAGCCTCTTAAGATTCCCGCTTTCAGGTTAGGACAGAATCATCACGCTTTTACTAAAAATGGAATCTGTCAAAGGAACTATGAGAGCAGTCGAATGATATATGTGGTATTCATATTTTTCTGTTATAAAACTTGCAGCTTTGCATGGCTTGAGCTGGTCAGCCACAGAAGCTTCATGCCCAAACTACTTACAGTAAACGGCCAGAAGGGTTGGCCATATGTTCAACGCCTGCTGGTAGACTTGCTGCAGTTTCTTGAGCCATTTTTGAGAAATGCTGAGCTCGGAGGACCAGTTTGTGCCTTCTTCTCTCGTGTAGTTTTTGCATTGAACACTAAGATTAGATATACTTGATGGTAACTTAAAGTGGTCTCTCTCTCTCTGTGTTCGTAGGTTCATTTCCTATACAAAGGGACATTGAGAGTGTTGTTGGTGCTGCTTCATGACTTCCCGGAGTTCCTCTGTGATTATCATTTTACTTTCTGTGACGTGATTCCTTCAAGCTGCATACAAATGCGAAACATTATTCTCAGTTCTTTTCCCCGGAACATGAGGCTTCCAGATCCTTCTACCCCGAACCTAAAGGTTGGAGATGATAACAGCATGTCAAGTGTATATATTGTAATGAAAAGAGAATTCCTTTTAGGCTGATTAGTCGTGTTTATTGCAGATTGATTTGCTGCCTGAGATAGTAGAAGCTCCCTGTATCCTTTCTGAGGTTGATGCTGCGCTAAAAGCAAAGCAGATGAAGAATGACGTGGACGAGTTTCTCATGGTAATTGAACAGAAAAGACGGACGCCTGATTTTGGAGAAATCGTTTATAGTGATAATAAATAATATTTGTTTCTTATGGTGCAGTCGAGGCAACAGAATCCAACAGTCCTAAGTGAGTTGAAGCAGAAGCTACTTCTCTCGGCCAGCGAGGCTAGTGCAGCTGGAACCCGTTACAGTGTACCATTGATCAATTCGCTGGTGCTATACACTGGAATGCAGGTATGTATGAGACACTAGTATCTGCCTAAATGGATCTTAATTTTGAATTTTTCTGTTTTTAACTTGTTGATACACACACAACAGGCTATTCAGCAGCTACAGGCTACTCAGCAGCTACAGGCGGGCGAGACGCAGGCTCAAACCGCAGTGGCGTTGCAGATGTTCAAGTATTTGAGTATGGAACTTGATACGGAAGGGCGGTACCTGTTCCTTAATGCAATCGCGAATCAGCTTCGATATCCAAACAACCACACTCACTACTTCTCCTTCATCATGCTCTATCTCTTCTTCGAGTCGGACCAGGAGATCATACAGGAGCAGATTACAAGAGTCTTGTTGGAACGGCTAATAGTGAACAGGCCTCATCCATGGGGACTCCTAATCACATTCATTGAGCTCATCAAGAATCCAAGATATGGCTTCTGGAAACAAGCCTTCATCAGGTGTGCCCCTGAGATCGAGAAACTCTTTGAATCCGTCGCCAGATCCTGTGGTGGTCTCAAGCCCGACGAGGGAATGGTCTCCGGTTGGGTCTCCGACAACTCTCATTAGCTCTGCGCTTTCTGTATCTGTATTTTATTTACTAGCTGCTCTTGTATCAATATTGTCATGTAACACAAGTAGAGAGACTTTAGGATTCAGAAGAATTTAAGCCTAGTTTTTGTTTATTTCATCATTCATACAACTACTCTGTCTGATTCTGATTCATAATCTTGTTACGAAAAAGTTAGTGCTGCTGCATGTCTAAGTTTGTTTCTTTAGCAACAAAATCTCTGTGTATTATTAGAGAGATGTGTACATAATGCTCGTCGAGTTTTTTATTGGGAATTAAAATAAATAAATGGAGAAGAGGTTAGTGGAAAACGTGACAAAATGAGGCCTTTCCAAGCAAGTGCATAGATAAAATAATATAGGAGGGCCCTCCTTGTCTCCTCTCTTTCTCTTGTATATAATCTCAAAGTTACCCTCAGTGTCTGTCTTGCAACACATCTCAACTAAACAAAAGACTCCACAGTGAAGAATGCATAACTGCTCCTCTGTTCTGGATTCGATTCGCCGGCATCTGCTCGAAGATGACTCGGAGACACTTCATTCTTTCTCTGCTAGCCCACATCTGGAATCGTCTCCGAGGAGGAGAGGCGCCAACTTCAAAGGAGTCAGGAGAAGGCCTTGGGGAAAATACGCTGCAGAGATTAGAGATCCCAATAAACTTGGGGCCAGGATATGGCTCGGCACTTATGAGACGGCCCAAGAAGCAGCTGCGGCCTACGACCGAGCCGCTTTCAAGATGCTAGGGGCCAAGGCTAAGCTCAACTTCCCTCATCTCACTGGCATTGATTGCCCAGAACCGGCAAGGATCACCGAGCGCCGCCTGAGTTCAACCTCATGCTCGCCTGTGGCTAGAAGACGCAACGCTGACATAATAAACCTGACGGCAAGACTTCCATGCCTTGCTTTCCATTATTTTTACCATATGACCACCCCACATAGCTTTGCTCGTTAACATTGAGTTTTTGTATTCCAAGTAACTTTAATGATCAGTCCAACTTACTTCTCAATTCAAACATCTATTTGGGCCACTAATTGTAGTTGAGAGAGAGAGAGAGAGAGAGAGAGAGAGAGAGAGAGAGAGTTGGAGGATTTTATACAAGTTGAAATAAAAGGTCGGCCACAAATAACCAGAAACTCCGCCACCAAAACCAAAGGCAAAAGCAAAAGAGGGTTTACATAACATAAGTTGCCCAAAAATCATCATCATTACAAAATCCCTTCTACTCTCTCCTTTCTCTCTACCTTGGAACAGGATGCCTCCTCCTGCGTTTCAAAGATAAGTGTGTTTGTGCGTGTTATCATTTTGCATTAACATACTTAAAAATATGCTTTCTCGTATGTTACCTCTTTGGTCGGATTCCATCTTCTTCGTAGTCCATCACTCCACTTGATTCCCCAAACATCTCTTTATGCCCTCTGCCGTCAACGTCCCCCTGCCCACAATGTAAGTAAGACTACATCGACCACTACCCTTCCCAATCACATATATCAGAATAGTCTACACTTTTCTTTCAATTTTATACCAAAGCACAAAAGGCATTGTTTCATTGCAGCTAAATCATTCCAGTCATAACAAGGGTAAGTGCAGATGCCAATCATTGCATTTCAAACACTTCACTATAATGCATCACAATTGTTTTTGTTTGTAGAACTTAATAATAGTATAATTGTATCCAAAAGCCCTTGAATCTAAACCATTATTAGTTACATAATATACTTAGAAGGGAATAGTGAAGCGCTTAGGCCACCAAAGCCCATCACATGTATCACTGACCTTCATGGACAGAGACTTTTTCATTTCTTCCACCCCTTCTTCTGCTTCCTTGCGATGTTTTTTGTCCATCTCACTCATATTGTCCGCCCATTTGATCTTGTCTTGAATTGAAACGAGCAGATTTTCTGATGTGTTCAACCTACACATCAATTTAGGGTAACACATTAAGCATCTCAAAAATCAAGCAACGCACAAACTGTTACACATGACAATAGGACAAGACTAGGTTGTGGAGGTAAATCATATATATATTCTAGGGAAGAAAACTAGGATCATAGAAAGTACCAGTTTGACAATGTGTGTAACATATTCCCTATCTGTCCTGGCCTTAGATCCCTACCAGCTGCAAATGGAACCTGCGTGACACTCAAAGAGGCGTTAGTACATTATAAACGAAAAAGCACAATGGTTATATAAGAGAGAGAGAGAGAGACACACCTCGAAACATCTTTTCAACTGATCCAGCTTTCCTCTAACTATACCCTGGAATATTTGAAGTTAATTTTAGCAAAGTCAGTATCATGCTTCTGTAACTTGTACAATATAGAGTTGCCTGTGGAAATACGGCTTCTTGCTAGTAAATAAAAAAAGGAAGAAGTTTTCTTAGAGCACTCACCGCGTACATGCATTCATTGATAAGAAAGTCCTCGAGTTCACGAACATTGGTGACATCTAACTCGGCCATCAGTGTATCATAAGGCAAAACCTATGATTATCAAGCACAGTGAGATCCATGTGGAAATGATAGGGAAACACTAGAGAGCAGGATATGTGCAATCAGGAAGGTAGTGAATTATTGGATATTCTACGAAAGAATATCAAAAAAAGGGTCGTACCTTGTTAGACTCCGCAAGGGTAAGCACAGTAAGCTGCTTTAACTTAAGAATTTGATCAGGAACCAACTGAGGAATACGGCTCGCATTGCCTAGAATTTAGAAGGAAATTACATGTTCATATAAACAATATAAGAAGAGGCAAAAACGAATTGACTATTCAAAGTATGAGTCGTACATTTGTAGTCACCCCAGGTGCCGTGGGCGAACAACCGGAGTACATCCAGGTACACTGAATTTGTGGTTCCTTCAAGCTGCAATTCATTGTTAACCGCTTAATAGAATACAACCAATCTACGCACAACAAACCAGAAATTCCCAAAAACACACTTCAATCTATGCTACGCGAACACTACCATTCCAAAACCCTAGATCGGTCCCAGAATCAGAGCACAACACATGAAAATTGAGGAGAGACAGACCTGGGCAACACTGTGTAGAGCCAAAATCTCGGAGAAAGCGAACAGAGAAGGATGCGATGTAGCTTCGATTATGATAGGCCACAGGGAGTCGCCGTTGCATGAAGCAGCTCGGCTAACGAGCTGATCAATTATCTCCGCCTGCTTCTGCTCGATATCCATCGATCCAACTACTACGACAATACCAAACTTTAATCAGGATCGCTTGATTTGGATCCAAGAAAAACCAGTGACCCAGGAGGACTTACGAAGATTCGAGAAAAGCTCCGGTGTTTAGGGTTTTCTTCGATTTCTACCTCTCTGCTCTGCTCTTTTTAGTTTTTATAAAGACGGAAATTGATGTGACGTGTCTAATTCTTATATAACTCCTTTTAAATAATTATTAAAATAACAATTATCTCTTTTTTCACTCCAAAATCCAAAAGGAAAAGGAAAGAGACTCTTCTTAACTCTTAACAAATCACTTCTTTTTGCCTTTTTTCTCTCCTGTAAATTAATTTCCTTACTGATATTCTTTACATAATTTTTTTTAAAAGAAAGAAAGATATAACTACTATATATGCTTTAAATAAATAAATAAATATAAAGACGGCGTTTTTCAATCCATACGTAGTTGCCGGGCCAAGGTCCAATAAAGATCATAATCACCAACCGTGGTCCGTGGAACCCTCCTTCCGGATCAGAGCGTCTTCGAGATTTCATTTCAGAAGGACAAATAAAAGACAAAAGAGGCTCTCGCGGGATTGATTGATCGGAAGAGATGGCGACTCCGCCGGCAGAAGCTCGCAGCAATAGAGCAGCGGTGCAGGCTACGAACGACGATGCATCCGCCAGTAAATTGTACGGTACCGCTGCTTTCTGTCTTATCTATCGGCTCTGTTTAGTATTGTGATTTCAATACGGGATTCTTGTACTAGAGCATATAGATAAGATGAGCTGTGCTGATTTGGTATAAATTTTGAAGGTCCTGTGTCAAAAAAGGATATATGAAAGACGATTATGTTCATCTCTTTGTGAAAAGACCTGTTCGACGATCCCCAATAATTAATCGAGGTAAGTCGCAAGTCGCAAGTCGCAAGTCGCAAGTCTGATTTATCATTTATGGGTAATGTTGTTTTCTGCTTGGACGAGCTGACGAGTTTTTGGATTTGCTAGGTTACTTTTCCCGTTGGGCTGCCTTCCGCCAGCTTTTGTCTCAGTTTCTGGAAAGTTCTCAAGCCAAGAAGCAGATAGTGTCACTCGGAGCTGGTTTTGATACTACCTATTTTCAGTTGCTGGTGCGTCTTTACTGAATTAGTATCCAGTTCTGGGTCCCGAAAGGGTGCTTCTCTTCTCATTTGTTTTCCATTTCGTTTTTCTAGGATGAGGGGAAAGGGCCCGATTTGTATGTGGAACTGGATTTCAAGGAGGTACCGTTCATTGATCGCGTTTTTAATTTTACCAAAGTATTCGTCAGCTATACTGAGCTGAGTCTATTGCTAATTGGATTTGCTTCCTACGTTAGGTAACAAGTAAGAAGGCTGCTGTTATAGAAAACTCCAGTCAACTCAGGGACAAACTAGGACCCAATGCATCTATTTCAGTTGGTGAGAGGCCGTTTTTCGTTTTACTATGTGAAACGTAGAATGATTCTTGTCAACCTGTGCAGTCCGGCTATTGCTGATATTCTTCTTCATCTTTCTCTCTGCCAGCTATACAAGCTAATAGTGCAATTCCCTTTTGCTGTTTACCGTTGCCTTACTCTCAATTTGTTTCTCTTCTGCTGTTTGACTCTGCAGAGAACGGCCAAGTGCTCAGTGATCACTACAAGTTACTTCCAGTTGACCTGCGTGATATACCGAAATTAAGAGATGTTATATCGTTTGCTGAGATGGATCCAAGGTACGCACCAACATATTTTTTTAAACCCTCATTTCTCTTCTTCTGCCTGATGATAAACCTACTTGATCCCTAATATCATTATCAGTCTGCCCACATTTATTATTGCAGAATGTGTTTTGATATATCTGGACCCAGATTCTAGCCGTGCCATCGTCAATTGGGCGTCAAAAACGTTTCCAACTGCTGCATTTTTCTTATATGAGCAGGTTTTCGGGCATATTGTATCTATATAAACTTTGCTTTTTTTTTTTCTATCGAACCTTACTGCTGTTGTGTCTAACTCGTTGGGTTTCTGTTTGCAGATACATCCAGATGATGCGTTTGGACATCAAATGATTAGAAATTTGGAGGTAAGATTGTGTACACTAGTCTAGTTGCAGAGACATCTTCATGAGTAAAGCTTAACATGTTAAGATTTTTGCAGAACTGTGTGGAATCTAGCAATATCATAATATTGCCACCTGTATTTGACCAATTTACCGCTCGTACTGATTTCTTTTAGCCGTAATGGTGTTTATGTGCTTCAGACTCGGGGTTGTGCACTCTTAAGCATTGACGCATCTCCGACTTTGCTAGCAAAGGAGAGATTGTTTCTTGACAATGGATGGCAGGTGTGCTTTGCAGTTTGAATATCAATATAAGTTAGTGTGGTTTGATATATGGCTTCTCGTATCTTACTCTCTTCTCTGTTCTGGCATATCAGAGAGCTGTTGCCTGGGACATGCTAAAAGTGTATGGTAGCTTTGTTAATACTCAAGAAAAACGCAGGTCAGTGCTGCAGTTATCCTTAATATTTTGTAACTGCGTTGTGTTACGTTGATTAAGTCCCTGGCTGAATTGTTTCGGAAATGTTTTCTAATAAATATCGGTTCCCCTGATTTCTGAGCTTTCCGGTGTTTTCTTAAGTGAAACTCTTTCCTATATCCTGTTTTTTGTTTTGTTTCCTTTTGATCCTCTTTTGGCTCTTTTGTTCCTTTATTTCATGACCTTTCGTTAGAAAGCCTACTTGTATATCTAAATTAGATAGTCGTGTTTCTAGGATCGAGCGATTGGAGCTGTTTGACGAATTTGAAGAGTGGCACATGATGCAGGCAAGTCCGTCTCCACCTTATTTTCTACATATGCATGGGGAAGTAAAAGAAAAAAAGACCAAAAGATGATTGGTTTTCCGATGATGTGATCGGATGGATCTAGTTGATAGAATTCGTGTTGTAAACGTTTGATTATGGTTTTTTTTTGTTTATTTGTATGCAACAGGAGCATTACTGTGTGACATATGCTGTCAATGACGCAATGGTACGTGGTACATGAGACCTGCTCAAGTATTAACAAGTTAATTGTGCCTTTTATAGTTTCTTATGATGATGAAGAGCGTTCTGGTTTGGGCAGGGAATATTTGGGGATTTTGGTTTCAGTAGAGAAGGGGGCAGTGAAAGCATCAGAAGCATCTCATCACCTTGAGAAAAGAGGAGGTGGGTTTTTGTTCTGCAACTGGTACGTACGTCAGTGGTTTTACTGTTACGTAACTTTGTAGACTGGAAGATGACGCGTCCTTTCTTTGTCTTTGCTAGCTGTTGAGCAGAAAACACATGGTGTAGACTGTGGACTTGTTTGAAATCAGAAATTTGTTTACTTGAAAACAGAGTGCAAGACACAGTTTCTTCTTGTTTTATTTTTGGTTGTATTCTCAGTTGTTTCATACAAACCCCAAGAATGACAATGCTAATCCAAGTTTGCTTCGCAGTTTGAAAGTTTCCCTTGCATACATACAGTCTATTAAGTTACAGAAGATGTCTGTGTCTTTTATGTTCTCTCGAATCGGCCATTCATATATAGAAACCTCGGTGACTCGGTCAACAACCTCTATTAAGTTTACTTTCCTTTTCTTTTTCTTTCTGAAAAGACAAAAGGTTTTCAAAAAAATTAAAAAAGGAAAGAGAGAGAGAGAGAGAGAGAGAGAGAGAGTGAGTGGAGCACTGGAGCTGAGTTGGGGGAAAGAGAAAACAGTCTTGTCCTCTCTCTCAAAATGGGATGCACAGCCTCCAAGCTCGACAGTGAGGACGCCGTTCGTCGGTGCAAGGAGCGCCGCCGTCTCATGAAAGACGCCGTTTACGCTCGTCACAATCTCGCCGCCGCTCACTCAGACTACTGCCGCTCCCTTCGTCTCACCGGCTCCGCCCTGTCCTCCTTTGCCTCCGGCGAGCCCCTCTCCGTCTCTGACAACACTCCCGCTGTTTTTCTCCGCCCCTCCAACCACGATGCTCCACGTGTCCCTTCCCCCAAACCCAATCAGAACCTTTCTCGGCGCCGCCGCAAGCCATGTCATCCACACCCTAGGCTTCCCCACATTCTCTCCGAGTCCTCTCCGTCTTCCTCCCCTGTCAGCGAGCGCTCTTTCTATCCGACTGCTTTCCAGAACAACTCCACTTACTCCCGCTCTCCTTCTCAAGCTTCCTCCGTCTGGAACTGGGAGAATTTCTACCCTCCCTCTCCCCCAGGCTCCGACTTCTTCGAACGCAAAGCTCGGGAGAAGCAGCCTCCACGGAGCCACTACGACGCAGAAACTGAGATATCGGAGCGCGAGGAAGTTCACTGCAGTGAGTGGGGCGACGACCATGACCGCTTTACTGCCACCACTTCGTCTGACGGAGATGGCGAGGGCCACACTAACGCTTCCAGATCCGGTTTTGAGCCGCATGCTCCTCCTGCACAGCCTGTGCAAGAGCAGAGTGAGAGTGCCCACAGGCACGATGATTTCACTTCGTCCGACAGCTACAAGACGAAACTGGTGGTAAAACACAAGGATTTGAAGGAGATCCTCGACGCTGTTCAAGACTACTTCGACAAGGCTGCCTCCGCTGGGGACCAGGTCTCCGCCATGCTTGAGATCGGCCGGGCTGAGCTCGACCGCAGCTTCAGCAAGCTAAGGAGTAAGTCAGCATCCCCTCTCTTGTAGATAATAGATAATGATGCATTGACAACTGACAACTGAGAACTGAGAACTGAGAATTGCTTCATTCACATCTCTGCAGAGACGGTGTATCACTCAAGCAGTGTGCTCAGCAACTTGAGCGCCAACTGGACCTCAAAACCGCCTTTGGCAGTGAAATACAAGCTCGATGCATCTACCCTGAATGAAGAGGGCGGCCTCAAGAGCCTTTGCTCCACTCTTGACCGAATCCTGGCCTGGGAGAAGAAGCTCTACGAGGAAGTCAAGGTACATATGCTTTTTCCATTCTTCTCATCTTACGGTGAGCCCTGACAAACCTGTGAATGCAAATTAGGCAAGAGAGGGAGTTAAGATTGAGCACGAGAAGAAGCTGTCCGCGTTGCAGAGTCAGGAGTACAAGGGAGGCGATGACTCCAGGCTAGACAAGACCAAAACTTCCATCACCAGATTGCAATCACTCATCATTGTTACTTCAGAAGCTGTTTTAACCACGTCTAATGCCATTCTCCGCCTTCGGGACACTGACCTTGTGCCTCAGCTTGTTGAACTCTGCCACGGGTCAGTCGATCATCTTTTCTTTTTGTATTGGTAAGAGTCACATGCAAATAATGTAGCCAGTAACCAGCATGCGAATGCAGGCTAATGTACATGTGGAAGTCAATGCACGAGTACCACGAAATCCAGAACAACATCGTCCAGCAAGTCCGTGGGCTGATGAACCAAACAGAGAGAGGTGAGTCAACATCACAAGTCCACAGGCAGGTGACGAGGGACCTGGAGTCAGCCGTCTCCTTGTGGCATACGAGCTTCTGTCGCATCATCAAATTCCAGAGGGAGTTCATAGGCGCCCTACACGCCTGGTTCAAGCTCAGCCTGGTTCCCCTGAGCAACGAACAAGACCCAAAGAAGCGGTCGGAGTCATTTGCCTTGTGTGAGGAGTGGAAGCAGAGCCTGGAACGGGTGCCTGACACGGTGGCGTCAGAAGCCATAAAGAGCTTCGTAAACGTGGTGCATGTGATATCAATAAAGCAGGCAGAAGAGGTGAAGATGAAGAAACGCACGGAGAGTGCAGGGAAGGAGCTGGAGAAGAAGGCATCCTCACTGAGGAGCATAGAGAGGAAGTACTACCAGTCCTACTCCACCGTTGGGATAGGCCCTGGACCGGAGGCCCTGGACGCGAGGGACCCGCTTTCTGACAAGAAATCGGAGCTGGCGGCGTGTCAGAGGCAGGTGGAGGAGGAGGTGATGAGGCATGTCAAGGCGGTGGAGGTTACAAGGGCAATGACTCTCAACAATCTTCAAACCGGCTTGCCCAATGTCTTCCAAGCCTTGACCAGCTTCTCATCTCTCTTCACTGACTCTCTTCAGACCGTCTGTTCTCGTTCCTACTCCACCAACTAAACTGATTTCTTCTTTTCTCCGGATTGGCTGTAAAATGTAAATTTACCACTAGAGGATCTGAATTTGATTGCTCATCATCTCTAAATTAGCATTTCTTCTCAAATCTTAACCTATGGGCCCACCAAATTTAACTACGAGGCCACCAATTCGAGAACCCATGGGCCAATCAAGTGAGCCCAAACTCGCCGATCGTTTTGACTTAATGGCCGTTGACGTTGACGTCGACGTCGACGTCGTAAGCCGCACCCAACGACCGCCAAACTCAGCCTTCTCCAACACTTTCCCTTTCTATAACAACATCCTCTTTACTCTCTCTCTCTCTCTCTCCTCTCTCTCATGGCGATGCTTTCTAGCTCTACTGCGAGCGTCGTGACGATGGACGCGTCTGGATTGCCGACACCGGAGGTTGTCTCCGATCCCTCACCATCTTCCCCCGAGGGATCGCCCCCTAGCGCCTCGCCTGATCGCCATGACCCTTCCACTTCGTCTCCAAGCCCTAGTCGTGGTGGTGGTGAAAATCAGGTGTGCCAAATTCATTTGACTTGTTCGATCTTCACTCCTTTTTTTTTTTTTCCTTGGAACATCGAATTTCAATTGATTTGATCTGGACTTTCTACCTTGTAGTCTGAAGTCATATCGAAGAGTGAAGAGTATCGGCAACTATTTCGGCTTCCGGCTGACGAAGTAAGTAGTGCTACTGTCGGTGACCAATGCTTGCTTCTCCAGATCCATTCCTTTTTGCGCATCCCAGCGGCTCTGCTGAGTCTGAAACTGACCATTCTTGTTTGCCTTCCATTCTTATGCCTAGGTCCTTGTTCAAGATTTCAACTGTGCTTGTCAAGAGAGTATTCTTCTGCAGGTGGTTTTTATCTCTTTGCGGAGTTGATGTTTGTTATATTTTCCTTTAATAACCTCTCTTTCTTTTTGCAGGGTCATATGTACCTCTTCATTCATTATATTTGCTTTTACTCCAACATCTTTGGCTATGAGACCAAGGTAGTGTTTTACTCCATAGTTATCCCTTCCCTTGCTGTCTCCACTTAGTGTTTTTTTATGTGCTCTATTAATCTGAACTCGTGCTCCAGAAAATTATTCCATTTGCGGAAATATCTTGTGTTAAACGAGCAAAGACTGCTGGTATCTTTCCCAATGCCATAGAGATTTTAGCTGGAGGGAAGAAGGTACCCACAACTTCTCTTTGGCTGATGATATCATCTTCTTAACTCGATTTTTGTTGTTGCCTCTGTCCTCATTTTAGATGCCCATTCTTTCTCAGTACTTTTTTGCATCATTCCTCTCCCGTGATGAAGCTTTCAAGCTTATCCATGATGGATGGTTAGAATATGGTAGTGCTGTCAGTGCAGAAGGCGAGATTCAGGTGGCAAATACACTGTTCATCACTGCTTACGGCTTGTTTCCAGCTCGTTTCTTGTTTCTTTATGCTGATCTTGCTTGGCTTAACTGTTCAGGATTCTTTATCTGAGTCCAATAACCAGGTAAATGATGGACTTGTTAAAAGGGCACTCAGTACCATGGATTTGGCGAGTGAAGTAGATTCCCCATCAAGGTACTTTCAGCGCTTCCATATTGTCTACCTGGTTTCTTTACTACTATCTGCTTCACGGCTCACTATCTTTCACTTCACAGGGATGAATCACCTCATCTTTCTAGCAGTTCCAGTCTTCCTGTTATTAGTCAAAATGGCGTTTTACCTTCGTCTGTAACTGTTCAGGGGCATGCAGAATCTGTTGTTGATGCTTTGGCTTCTTCTTCAACCAATACTTTGAACTGGAAGCCTGAAGACGCAAATGCACCAAAATGTAGTCAAAGTCCTTCCTTTTCTTTTAGTTCTTTTTGGTTGTTTTTTGGTAATGCCTCAGATTATCATTTCCAAGTCAGCTATATAAGGATGTGATTCATGTGAATGCTTGTGTTTTCACTAAATTCAACGGGGAATCTTTTGCTAGGGTCATGTCAAACTGTTGGGAGATAGTATAAAGAATGCAAACGCTTGGGTTTCTCCAAGTTTTAGAATGAAGTGTTGGTTCACTTAAACGTGAACAATCAGTTAACTTCTTGCTTTTTCTAGGTATATGTCATTATGTGTCTTATCTTTTAGCTTGCTTATATTTGGAAAATGAACTGACTCTGTTTGAAATTTGTAATGGCCAATGGGGAAACAGTCTCATAATTTTTTTACTGTATTCGGCTTATCGCAATGGGGTAGCTTAGCTATATTTTCTTGCTTCTTGATGGCCCTTCACAAGTTACACTAGTTCTCATTTTGTTCCAACAAGCTTGCCTCACTATGGAGACCCTATTTCCTGCTGAACCGCTTATTTTGTTTATGCATTATCTTTTAAGTTAGGTTGATCTCTTTTCTTGTATCGTTCGAATTCCCTACTCAAATTTTGTGATCCTTGCTTGCAGTATCATCTGATTTTACAAAGGTAGCAGAGGCAAAGTTTTCGGTAATGCACTTTCTTGGACTTATAGGATAGAGAAATAATGGAAGAACCATTCCCATTTAAAGTTTACATTATGGAGAAGTTTCATACGCACCTAAATAAAGTTTACTTTTTGTTTGCAGATTCCAGTAGAAGAGTTGTTTAGATTGTTTTTCTCAGATGGTGCTGTCAGTTTTGTTGAATCTTTCCATAAAAACTGTGGAGATAAAGGTAGAGCAATAAGTGATGGGATCATTTTTCGTAGGTCCCTCTGTCAGTGTTTTTTTTCTTTTAAGCAGAAGAGGCCTTTGTATTTGCAGATTTTAAGTGTACCTCTTGGCAACCTCATGAAAAACTTGGGCACACTCGCAATGTCTCATTTCAACATCCGATAAAAATTTATTTTGGTAATGATATTCTTTGCGTTAGATATATTCAGTTAAATTTTATATCAGATATTGGTATGCATGACTGTTGGATTCCTTTCAAAGGTGCAAAGTTTGGTGGCTGCCAGGAGTCACAGAAATTTCGGATGTACAGAGATAGGTATGCAGCTTTGTTTTGAAGTGAATCCCACTATTAACGATCGTGCAAATGCATGCTTGTTCACTGTTATCTGATTTTGTCATTATTTTGCTAGCCATCTGGTTATTGAAACGTCACAAGAGGTCAGCGATGTGCCTTATGCAGATTACTTTACTGTAGAGGTAAGGAGAAATTTGCATGGAATGTTATCAGTAGTTGGCTGAGTGATCTGTGTTAGAGGTGAATAGGTAACCTCTGCCTAATTCCAGGGGGTTTGGGATGTGAAAAGAGATTGCAGAGACTCGATAGAAGGGTGTATATTGGATGTTTATGTCAACGTGGCCTTCTCTAAAAGAACAGTGTGGAAAGGTTTGTTTTAACCTTGGCTCTTTCACCTTGTTTCTTATATGCTTGGCAACACTCGGTATTTATGGTTGTTGGATCTGGCCTGATGCTGATGCTGCTGATTGATCCGTTAACAGGAAAAATAGTGCAGTCTACTCTGGAAGAGTGTAGAGAAGCTTATGCAACATGGATAAGAATGGTACTTTTGCAGCCATTGGGTCAAAATATATTTCTTTCAGTTTAAGCAGGCTTCTAAACTAGTTTTTCAAATGATTGTCTATGGAGGCAAATGAACTGTTGAAGCAGAAGAAGCGGGAGAACCAAAAAGGTTTGTGCTGTAGAGTGATGATTAACAGAAGCCTTTCTCCCCATGTAGAAATCTGTTGGCTGACAAGATAATCTGATACAGCAGGGATCAAGTTGAGTGAGGAAAGTGCGGTGGTATCAGAAAGCGAAGAAAGAGTATCTGAAAGTGAAGAGAAGGGAGTGGAGATGGTGGGAGGAGGAGGAGGGGTAGTGAACATCTTAAGAGAAGCATTGGTGAAGGTGACAACATTCGTGAAGAGGCAAAGCGGGACAAGGCAGGCTTTAGTCATAGCCTTTGCAGTGATCCTACTGATGCAGGTAATATTTATTGTTATGTTATTAACTGGTGTTGAGAGAGAGAGAGAAGAAGCTGATAAGTGCAAGTGTGGACACAGGTGACGATAGTGGTGCTACTAAAGAGAGGACCGGATCAAGTGCAGGTGGGGAGTGAATATTACAGCTACGACAAGAGTGGAATTGGGGAGAGTGTGGGATGGCTGGAGAAGAGAATGCATTTCCTGAGGGAGGAGATGATAATGGTTGAGGATCGGTTGCAGAGGATGCGACAAGACCACGCTGCCTTGAAGTCTCAGCTCCACCAACTGGAACGCCTCCTCCTCCGCCACCAACAATAGATGCATACCACTCTTTGCATGCTATGTAATGTAATGTAATGTATCGTATCTATGTATGTATATGTATACAAGCTGTATGAGAATGTTACTTCGCAAAGTCACACATAAGCACGCATATGAGAATCTTCGTTGTTTACTATTTGACAACTTTATATATTTCCAACTCTCTCTGGGACTTTTGATGTGAAAAAGGGAAGAATCATGAGATTCGGAAAAGAAAACACACTATGATTAATGATATCATCTTTGGGTAGATAGAAAACCCCTAAAGGCAAGCATAATGTTGTGGAAAGAGAATAATAAGCTGTCAAAGGCTTAATTACAGACAGGCATTCGGGGGGTAGTGTGTTAAAAACTTAAACTGAAAGAGGAAACATTTTTTTTTTTTTTTTCAAAGTTGAAAGTTGAAAGGATAGTGATAGGCAATCAAGTAGAGCAGCAGCCGTTCTTCTGTGCAACAGGCTGTCCTCTGATCTGCACCGTCGGTGGTCTTGCATTGTTCCCAGCTGGTTGGCTTGCCATTCTGCAATCCAATACCACACATCAATGTCTTTCAGACATCCCAAACACACACTCACTCTGTAACTTGTTTTAGTCTTTAAACACTAGTAATGGATAACAAAAGAAAGATATAAAATGTATAATAAGTACCTCTCTTTGATAGATGCCGACATAGCCATGAAAGCCTGTTCCACGTTTGTAGCATCTTTCGCACTAGTCTCCATGAAAGGGATTCCAATTTCATCAGCAAAAGCCTAGGAATGTTTCAAAATTCAAATTCATCAGAAAGAGCTTGAGAAGGTGAGACGGAAAACAACTCAATGGATTTCAGTCCATGTACCTTTGCTGTTTCATATGGAACGGCTCTGTTTTCAGCGAGATCACACTTGTTTCCAACAAGAAGTTTGTTCACACTGTCACTTGCATAACGATCAATTTCACTCAACCATTGCTTCACATTGTTGAAGCTTTCTTGATCTGTGACGTCGTAGACAATCTACGAGACCAAGGGCTAAGTTAGTACGTAAGAAAGCAAGAGAGAGGCTAAGTAAGTAACTTACAATGATTCCATGTGCCCCACGGTAGTAACTGCTAGTGATTGTCCTGAACCGTTCCTGGCCAGCAGTGTCCCACTGAAACGACCAGTTTACGAGAAGCAAGAAAAGTCAGGGCATAAAATACGAAGATGGTGAGACATGGGGAAATAAGGAAAGAGGAACCTACAATTTGGAGCTTAATCGTCTTCCCCTCTTGCTCCACAGTCCGGATTTTCTAAAGAAATAATATACAAGCTGAGATCAAAGCCTCGGTATCAATCACAAGAAGAAGAAAAACAACGCAAACAAACTTACAAAATCGACTCCAATAGTGCTTATGTAACTATCGACATACGAGTCATCCTGCACACACGAGGTAAAAGCGGTCGCAGATCAGATATCTGACCCAGACACAAGTATGCAAATGAACAAGCAGTAGACCAACATCACTATTTCACATGCATATTCATCAAGTCCTAAAAAGAAGCCAAATGAGCAAACGTACATACATTGCAATCAGGAAAGCTACGGTGTTTGATTAGTTCCCGATATTGATTGATCTAGAATTTAGATTTGGAATTCAAACTTACAGAGAATCTCAAAAGTAGACAAGACTTGCCCACGCCAGAATCCCCGATGAGCAGGAGCTTGAAAAGATAGTCGCTGCAAATCCGGAAAAAAAAAAAAAACAAAAAATAATGAAAAAAGAGAGACTGTGGAAGTAGGCGAGATCGAGACAAACACTGGAAACAGAGACAATTTAATCAAAAAGAGAAGAAAAGATGTTGAAGACATAGGCTTCTAGGTGTAGCGAACAACCAAAATCGTGGAATCTAGATTCATAAAAGAGGGAAGCAAGTAATCGAGGAGATGAGGAAGGAGCTTACTACTCGGGATTCATGGTTGCGATGGTGTGGGAACGAAGGGAAATCTCAGTTGGATTGTAACGGCGATTATACAAAAGCAGAGAGAGATCTCGATTCTCGACGAGAGAGAGAGAGGGGAGATCCAGAATGGCCAATGGTTGGGCCTTAAATAGAAAGCCCATATTCGTCAAATACTAACAAGTAGGCTGGCTAGAGGCCCAATAACCACAATAAGACCCAAAGAGACTGTATTCCCTTAGGGTTGCAAGCATGCAAGTATATATATATATACAAAGATGGATTAGACCTTTCTTCCTTTAGCCTCTCCTCCGAAGTCCGAACCTCTAAGCATCATCGACAATGGAGCAAACATTCATCATGATCAAGCCCGACGGTGTCCAGAGGGGACTCGTAAGTGTCGCTTGCTTTCCTCTTTAATATAGTTAAATGTTGCCATCTGATTTTGTCGAATTTGTTTACGCTTGGAAAGTAAGAGCTTGCATATGTTGGTTTTTCAGATCGGTGAAATCATCTGCAGGTTTGAGAAGAAAGGTTTCACTTTGAAGGGTAATTAATAATTCCGATAGCATACTATTTGTTAATTAGAGTGATTGGTTATTTGATTATGTATCTGACAGTGTGTACATGGGTCAACAGGTCTGAAGCTGATTAGTGTTGAGCGTGGTTTCGCTGAGAAGCACTACGAGGACTTGTCTGCCAAGTCCTTCTTCAGTGGTCTGGTTGATTACATAGTGTCAGGGCCCGTGGTTGCAATGGTCTGGGAGGGGAAGAACGTTGTGTTGACAGGGCGTAAGATCATTGGAGCGACAAACCCAGCAGCCTCTGAGCCAGGAACCATCCGTGGAGACTTTGCAATTGACATTGGCAGGAACGTGATCCATGGGAGTGACTCTGTGGAGAGTGCAAACAAGGAGATTGCTTTGTGGTTCCCAGATGGACCTGTCAACTGGCAGAGCAGCTTGACCCCTTGGATCTACGAGTAGTCTTGTTGTAACTTGATATTCCGTGTCATGTCATCCCTTCTCGTTTTGGATTTTCCCACCAGTGTGGTCTTGTTTTCTGTTTGATCTATTTGGAGTTTCCGACCAGTGTGGTCTCGTTTTCAGTTTGATCTATCTATATATTTAAGTTTACAAAATCGAGTATTCCTCTTTCTTTTACCAGTCTACGAAAATACATCTCATTGTAGCCGAGCCTCATCTTCCAGCTGAAGCTCAGAGCAATCCGGGTTCTTGGACTATGTAAACTCACAGTCGCACTCTATTCAATTCGTTGTAGTTATCCACGCATCACATTCCCACCCACTCCTAATACAATATCATGATTCATAACCATCGAGATCATATCAGGCTTGGAAGTTGAGCGAAAGAAACATGCACATATCCACATATTCACATATCGTAATAAGTTTTAAGTTCGATTTAGAGAGAGATCCCCTGAGTTGTATGAGGAAATGGTTTGACTTGGTTGGTTCGTTAAAAAGTGAAAAAGATATGCAACCAAAATGGACTCGATTATTAGCTTCCTTTCTCCCTCACCAAATCATTCAGTTCATCACTTCCCCCTGTAATTTTACGTGATGATGAATTGAATGATCAAGAGTTCAAGACTCACCACCGTTCAATATCAAACTAAATAACGAGACAAGAAAAGTTGCAATATCTAAATTGTTGTTTTTTTTCTCTTATCTCAGTTACAGCAGCTGGCCAAAGCCCACTGCTTTCTAGTACCAAGCAACCATTGTTCATTGCAATACCAAGGCGCAACATAGGATCCGTTGCAAAAAACAGCTAATGGAGAACTCGAGAGTTTTCAACAAGACAAGAAACTAGCATGATTCAAAAAAATGAGCCAGAAACAACATAAAAAACAACCAAACTTGAGCCACATGTCCCCAGCAAGTCCACTCGCTTCCTTGTCTAGATAGGCTTGATCTTGAAGTGCAGCGAGATGAGCGAGAAAACAAGACATTTCAAGTCCTGCAACCATAAATGTTTCAAAAGCAACATGTTAGAGCAGAAAGAAGATAGAGAACAACAACAGACTTACAAGTGACCCCCATAACGGAGGCAGAGTCCTAAATAAGGTGATTTGCTCTCTGCCTTTGCTATAAACTCACTCATGGCAAGGCAAGAGAAAAGAGAGGTGACCTGAACAAGATAGTAGAAGATGCGAAGTCCTTCAGGGTCATGGCTGCCATTGACATCAACAAGCGATCCAATCTTAGATGTAGTGAAGGAGATATGATCGTCTCCCATCACGATCTCAATCTCTTGCCTTCCAACACGGTCAGGTTCCGGCCATTTTGTGTCATCTTCTTTCATGATCTACACAGTCCAAAAATGAAAAGCTCACTCACAGGTTGCCTAAAAATAGCACTAACAACACCCAAAGAGGAGAAAAGGGTTCCAAATCACAAAAATCAACTAAACCCCAAGGAAGTATGCCAGAAAACCCCCTAAAACCCCCTAATTTGACAAGTAAATCACAAAAAACCCTAATCGAGAGAGTTCTGACCTAGCCTAGAGCGGTAGCGGAAATTGAGCAATACACAGGCGGGCAAGAATAGAAAACAAAAATTCGAACCTCGCTCTCGGAGACGATACGTTTGCATTCCTTGAGAACGGCGGGGGTGAGGAAGACCTCCTTCCGGATCATAGTATCGTTCTTGTAGTTTGAGTTATTGGCGTACCGGAGCTTCCCGTCGGGTCTGAACTCGAACTCGAGGAACTCGTGTCCAAATTTCCCTTTGTGCCCGACATAGTACCTCAGGTAGAACTCCTTCTCTTCTTCGGCTGCCATCGTCTTCTTCGATTCAACCAGAGACCTTCCCCTTCCTTCCTTTTCCCCTTTTAAACAGCAACAACAAAAAGAAAGAGCATCAATCCTTATTTTAATGGGCTTACGTTTCAGCCCACCTAAATATTCATTCAGGCCCATTTCGTTTTATTTGTCTGTTTCCATCGGAAGCGTCTCAATTCCCGCAAGTGTTCCGTTCCGTGGACGACGACGATGCCGACGGATTCGAAAATGGCCAAGTTTCTTCAATCCTATGGTAAACTGTGCATGCTCTTAGTCCACGATGATCTTCTTAAGCTTTTGATTTCGATGAATGATTTGATTTGTTTTGTTTGTGGGAGCAACAGGATATGATCTGATTCTGGGATCTATCGCTGCAATTTATGTGGTCATGGCACCCTATACTAAGGTGGAAGAGAGCTTCAACGTACAGGTTGAAATCACTTGTTTTAGATCCACTTACCGCTCTTGAGAATCATACTTTCACTGAGTCTGAATTTGCATGTGACCAGTCAACCCACGACATTCTTTACCATCGCCATCATTTGGACTCTGTGAGTGATCGATCAGTCTCATGTGAATATTTTTGCTTTTTTAATTCTACTCAACTGTGTTTTATTCTATCAGTATGATCATTTGGAGTTCCCCGGTGTTGTCCCTCGAACTTTTATTGGTAACGCATGTTCAATTTCGCGCTCTCAAGTCTCATCATTAATGATTTCACTGATTTCTCTCTCTCTCTTTTTAGGTGCGGTCATAGTCTCTATCTTTGCTTCACCCTTTGTATCCATTATCAGCTCGCTTGGCTTCCCCAAGATTTATAGCCTTGTTGCAGGTTTCTCCTCTGCTCTGTCTTCTTTATTGCTCAACACGGACAAAACCAATTCACACCATTGTTTCTTCATTTGCTTACAGCTCGCTTGGTGTTGGGCGGCATCATATTATCCACATTAAGATTTCTCCGCATTCAGGTATCATGTTTCTTTGTTATCAAGTTCGGAAGTTCCTCTACTGCTTCTTTCCGTGCTTCACTTCTCTATCTGATTTGGGATATCTCACATGCTTCCTCTTTCACAGATAAGGAAAAAGTTTGGACATCAAGTGGAATCTTTCTTTGTACTTCTCACCACTCTTCAGTTTCATCTGCTTTTCTACTGCACTCGTCCTCTACCTAATATTCTAGCTTTGGGATTAGGTGATTACTTCTATTCATCTGGCTCCACTAGTGCTGCTCCTCTCAGATATCCTAGTACTCTTAGCATTTGTGTCGCGTTTCTTGCTAATCTTGTTAAATCTGAATTCTGCAGTTAATCTGGCATTTGGTAATTGGTTAATAGGAAATTTTTATTCATCTTTGAGCTTCCTGGTATGTATGATTTTCATGGTAACATATTTTCCCAATTATCATGTCCGAAACTTTGAATTTGCTGACATCTCTTTCACCTCACAATCAGATTTTTGCCACTGTAATCTTCAGATGCGATGTGATATTACTGCTTGGGCCTATCGGTCTTGGATTTTTACTGGTGAGCTGATGAGGAGTAATTTGGTTTCTCAACTTCTGTATATGTGTAGATGTGTACTTTGTTGTTTCCTTCTGATACGGGTGCTTTACATTTATCATTGACAGACCAAATCCATCTCCTTTTGGAAAGCTCTTAAGTATTGTGCTGGAACCGCTGTGGTGGCTGTAGGTTGGTTATAATTCCTCTTCATTCTGTGATCTATTTGTTTTTTTCCCCCCTTCAGACACTCGTTCCCGAATCAGGCTTTTTTTGTGGTCATGTAATATTTGTTGGCACAGGTCTTACCATTTCCGTTGACTCTATCATGTGGAAGAAGTTTGTCTGGCCAGAATTTGAAGTTTTCTGGTTTAACTCCATTCTGAACCGGAGTTCTGACTGGGGTGTATCCTTCAAATATGTTTCCCGAATTGTATTTTGTATGACAGATGACCTCATAGCATCCTTTCCATTGCCTTCTTTACAATTGGCAATGCAAAGCTTGTTTTGCTAATACTGTGACGCTTGCATTTTTATGAAATTCTATTTTTTTCCTTAAAAATGTTGCTAAACCAGACACATTCCGTACATTGGTACTTCACCTCGGCACTCCCACGGTCGTTACTTGTAGCTTATCCTCTTTCACTGGTAAGTATCCGTCATATTGTCTTATTCCTTCCGAGTTGGGATATCTGATTGCATCTCTATAAATTTTCTAATGTGTTTTCTTTTTTGGATTATGCAGTTTGGTACCTTACTTGACAGGAGGGTTCCGTTCTTTATTCTTCCAGTTTTGTCCTTCGTTATACTCTACTCTAAACTTCCACACAAGGTATTCAGATGGATTACTTATCTCAGTAGCCATCAAAGTTTCTTAACCATTCACTGACATAGCCGCTTACCTATCTTTCTTGATATATGCAGGAACTCCGCTTTATTATTAGTTCAGTGCCGATGTTCAACTTATCTGCTGCAGTTGCTGCTAGCAGAATGTAAGGATTCTATCAGATGTTTGCTAGCCAAGCTTTCTTTCAATCATAGCTAGAACGTTCTGTTATTCAGTCTCTTAAGAGCTCTTTGGATGCACTTCATTTGTAAATGCTATTCTAAATTACTAGTAACATGGCCCGGACTCGTAATATAATCCAATTTCCTTGTACAGCTACAATAACAGGAAGAAATATGTTTGGAAACTGGTGAACATGGCTATGCTAGCATTATTTGCAATCAGGTAGACATACTAGGCAATTGTGTTTGCTATGTAAATAGGAGGAAATGGGTTTGCTAGTCTATATAACCTTGTGCTATAGTGCAGGATGTACGGTTGTAACATTCATGGCATCTTACTACAATTATCCTAGCGGCTATGCTCTGAAGCGATTGCATCAGATAAGTGAGTGACTTATTCTTTTCAGGGTAACTAACTTATTATTAGGTACCAAACAAGAAAAATTATGCTAGTCAGTCTTTGTTCGTCCCAAATGCCAACATATAATTCGTAATCATCTTTGTTATGTGCGAATTGATAACTTTTCCTACAATATGAACCATATGAAGTGATGCCTTGCATGTTTCTCAGGCCAGCCAGCAAATGTAGCGGGAGAAGAGTGGGTTCACATAGACACTTTTGGTGCTATGAATGGAATATCTCGCTTTTGTGAAGATTCTTTTCCGTGGAGGTGAAGTTGATTCTACTTTCAATGTTCAGTTTCTTGCAGACGCATACAATTAACTGCGAAAAGAATGGTTTGGATACCTACAAGCGGTATCTGTTTAGCTATTTAAGAGCAGAGAAATTTTCATGTGCAACGCAGGTACTCAAAAGAAGAAGAGATAGCGGTGGAGGAGTTTCGAAATCGAAATTTCACATACCTGGTGAAGTGAGTATTTCATCAGACAGTGGTGTATAAGCAATTCTTAGTCAAATGGTGGTCAACAACATCTAATACTGTTGTCATGGTTTGAGCAGCGAGCACCCCTCTGTGGATGGATACAAGTGCTTGTTTTCTGAACAAGGCTTCGACAGACTCGAACTGCGCCGTGGTTTCCCTCCCATTGTTCTGGTAAATCGGGAGTATTGAATCAAAATAGGTGCATGGAACGTATGTACAAGTGTTGAGTTGAGAATGGGGGTGTATTGCAGGTAAAAAGAGCGAAAGTGTACGTGCACCGGAATATGAAGAAGGAAGATCATTTGCATAAGAAATGGCCCGGAAGTGGATGTTAGCAATCCAACAAATAGAGACTTTCTTTGGGTCGAACAGTCGATCATGTATCATATAGCTATGTTCAATGTTCACTGTATTGGATTGAAACCCTCTGGTTGTCTCAGTAGCACCCGGCCTTTTGGGCTTTCTGTTCAACTTTAGTTTAATTTACCAATTTACCCCTCTCTAGTTCCCTCTTTTCATTTAGGAAAAAGAACCATCCGACTTATCTTCTTCTTCAGACTGTTGAAACCTGAAACCTAATCGCAATGTTGCTTCAGGCGGTGCAGAATCGCAATGTTCCTCTGGCTTCCTCCGCCTCCTATTCCCGTCTCCCTCGCTGCAGATCTCCCGTTGTCTCCGTAGCTCTATCGAAGAAGACGGCAATCGTGTGCTCCATCTCCCAGGTCTATGGCTACGGAACGGTGGACTACGAGAGAAGGCCGATTATCCAGTGGAATGCCATCTACCGGAAGATATCTCTCATGGAGAAGCCGGAGCTTGGCGCTGCCTCCGTCTTGAATCAGTGGGAGAAAGGCGGCCGTAAGCTTACCAAGTGGGAGCTGTGTCGCGTCGTCAAGGAGCTTCGCAAGTATAAGCGTCCCAACCAAGCTCTTGAGGTAGCTTCTCATGTATCTGCTCTCTGTATAAAAGCTCTCTGATTAACTTGCTTGTTGATATCATCTTCATTTCTCCCCCTAGGTGTACGACTGGATGAACAACAGAGGCGAGAGGTTTCGATTGTCTGCGAGTGACGCTGCAATCCAGCTCGACTTAATCGGCAAAGTGCGTGGGATTTCAGACGCCGAAGAGTTCTTCCTTAGGCTCCCTGAGAACTTCAAGGACCGGAGAGTTTATGGATCCCTCCTCAATGCCTATGTGAGGGACAAGGCGAGAGAGAAAGCCGAATCCTTGATCGACTCAATGAGGGAGAAAGGATACGCCCTGCACCCGCTTCCTTTCAACGTCATGATGACTCTCTACATGAACCTTAGGGAGTACGACAAAGTGGACGCAATGGTCTACGAGATGAAGCAGAAAGACATACGTCTCGACATCTACTCGTACAACATCTGGCTCTCCTCCTGTGGCTCCCAAGGATCGGTTGAGAAAATGGAGCAAGTGTATGAGCAGATGAAATCGGATGCTTCCATCAATCCCAACTGGACCACTTTTAGCACAATGGCCACCATGTACATCAAGCTGGGCGAAACCGAGAAAGCTGAAGATGCACTGAGGAAAGTTGAGGCAAGGATTACTGGTCGTAATCGGATCCCGTACCACTACCTCTTGAGCTTGTACGGGAGCGTTGGTAACAAGAAAGAGCTGTTCCGGGTGTGGAACGTCTACAAATCTGTGGTCCCGAGCATTCCCAATTTGGGATACCATGCTCTCGTGTCGTCCTTGGTGAGAATGGGAGAGATTGAAGGGGCCGAGAAGGTATATGAGGAATGGCTTCCAGTCAAGTCTTCTTATGACCCAAGGATACCAAATCTTCTCATGAATGTGTACGTTAAAAACGGCCAAATGGACAAGGCTGAGGGGCTGTTCGACCACATGGTTGAAATGGGAGGAAAACCAAGTTCAAGCACGTGGGAGATTCTAGCCGATGGACATACCAGAGAGAGGAGGATCCCAGAGGCTTTGGCCTGCCTCAAAGAAGCTTTTTCTGCTGAAGGGTCAACCAACTGGAGGCCCAAGGTGTTGATGCTCTCAGGCTTCTTCAAGCTCTGTGAAGAGGAATCGGATGTTCCTAGTAAAGAGACGGTTCTGGAATTGTTAAGGCAATCCGGGCATCTTCAAGACAAATCTTACCAAGCTCTTATTGATGTGGAGGAAAATGAGAGTGAGGGAACCCATGTGCTTCTATCGCAACTGCAAGATGATGATCATCTGTAAAAACAAAATCTGGCTTGGCTTGGCTTTAAAAGAGGAATCTTGTAACCGGAATCAACTGCCTAGTTTACATTTATTTTGTTGACGGAGTAGCCTGTTGGGCTTAAAGGCCCGCTATTATCAAACTTTAAATTGATAGGCCTGAGATACTCAAAGGCCCATTTGGAATGAGATGTAGAAGATATCTTCACCGGTTGCGACTTGCGAGAGAGAGAAGGAAAAGACGTTGATCGGGAAATGGCGACGAAAGGCGCGGCGGCTGCGTACCCTAGCGCGGCTCGGATATCTGATTCTCCCTGTTATCTTCAGTACTCTGCTTCTCTCAAATGTGAGTCACGCTCCGGATCCCCGCCCTCCCCCTCCATTAATTTCTGATTGTTTCGAGGATTTGAGATTTTTGATTGATCCATATATGGCATCATAGTATTGATAGAGTCTGGGTTTTATGATTTAAGAAATTCTTGATTAGGTCCCATCTTCGTGTAAAGTTGGGATTCCTTTCCTGATAGTGTATGTCTCCCCTTTTGTGCCTTTTCCGTATTCTTACTTGTGCTGTGCATTAGCTTTGATCAATTTCAATTTTCAAAATTAAACTCTCAGGTCTTGAAGAATTTGGATCGGACAAGAGTAAATGCCAGGATCATTTTGATGTGTACAAGGAATGCAAGAAGAAAGAGGTTCTTGTGAACTCGCATATTCAGCTTTCTGTGTTTCCAGCTTATCTGCTTACCTTATTCTATTGTTGCATGTTTTGTCTCTCAGAGGGAAGCTCGACTGGAACGCAATAAAACACGGTCCTTGTTCTCTTGAATGCCTAGTATGGATTATGGAATGGATCCTCTAATGGCCTCGTATCCTCTTGTTACATTTGCAATGACGCCTTTTGAGGAGTGGTGTTTTGTTGTGTTTCACATGTTTGTACGTACGGTTTAAATAAACAGTCTGGTGGCAAGTGCTTGTAAGCGGTATTTTCGACTCTCGGTTTAACAATTAGAGAGGGAGTAGGAGCCACTGGTGATGGATTTATTACGAAATGTTAAAATTTTAGAGCAATCTTAATATCAAGTCGTTTGAGCTTCTCCGTCGCATAAAATAAAATTATAAAAAACTATTGAATTATATACACAAAGACAGAGAGCGGGAGGACTTGTAATGCCAACTGCTTCGACAAGTCATATCTCATCTCTTTTCGTCCCATTACATTTTGCCATACTTTGAAACGTTTTCAACCTCTTTCCATTGCAGTGTTTTGTAGGTTTAGTTATTAGTAGACACAGGCCCTGTTAACTATAGTATATTGGGCTTAATACTGTTGTATGGGCCTCTGATGGTGGTGTTTGGTGAGCTGTCAGAAGAACCCAAATCGGCTTTTCACGTTGCCTTGCTCTAATTTGACTCGTCGTCTTCCTCACGCGTTCTCCATCCCGTTTGGTGATCAGATTCTTCACCTGATTCCTTGCGAGAATAATGTTCCCGCCACCTCCCTCAAGCATCTACGCTTCTCCGATGCTGGTGAATTGCTCCGGTTGCCGGACGCCTCTCCAGCTCCCATCCGGCGCCCGATCTATACGATGCGCACTATGCCAGGCCGTCACTCATATCGCCGACCCCCGCACCGCCCCTTCTCCTCCTCCGCCCTCCTCCGCCTCTTCTCAGCCTCCCCACATCCCCGCGCCTCTCGGTCAGCTGCCTCACCCCCATGGCAGGAAGAGGGCCGTGATCTGTGGTATTTCGTACCGTTACTCTCGCCACGAGCTCAAAGGCTGCATCAACGACGCCAAGTGCATGCGACACCTTCTCATCAACAAGTTCAAATTCTCCCCAGATTCCATACTCATGCTCACCGGTATTTCTATCGATTTTCCCCCTCCATCGCTATCCTTGAAACTTTGGATCCATCCCTTTTACTAGTTTTCATTGTGATAAATAAAGTAGAATTTGTATGAGCATCTTGGAAATAACTGTTGATGATGCAGAGGAAGAAACTGATCCATATCGTATCCCTACCAAGCAAAACATGAGGATGGCATTGTATTGGCTCGTGCAGGGATGTACAGCCGGTGACTCGCTTGTCTTTCACTACTCGGGTCATGGTTCGCGTCAAAGAAACTACAACGGGGATGAAGTTGATGGCTATGATGAGACACTCTGCCCTCTGGATTTTGAAACTCAGGGGATGATTGTGGATGATGAGATTAACGCAACCATCGTTCGCCCTCTTCCACATGGTGTCAGGCTGCATTCGATCATCGATGCTTGCCATAGTGGCACCGTGCTGGATTTACCCTTCCTATGCAGAATGAACAGGTTACTTACCCTCACCTTTCTAAGTGCTACTTGTTATATGCTCTCTCCATCACAGAAATCCGAATATCTTGTTATTGAATGAAACAGAGCTGGGCAGTATGTGTGGGAGGATCATCGGCCAAGGTCAGGTTTGTGGAAAGGAACAGCTGGCGGAGAGGCCATATCAATCAGTGGGTGTGATGATGATCAGACTTCCGCAGACACGTCAGTAAGTAGAAGGAATCTTATCACACAGGTCTTGCAACTGTAGTTTGTTCCTGGGCTCATGATTGAAACTTGTACGCAGGCACTGTCGAAGATCACGTCTACGGGTGCTATGACTTTCTGTTTTATTCAAGCAATCGAACGCAGCACCCAAGGCCTAACCTACGGGAGCATTCTTAATTCGATGCGCACCACAATAAGGAATACAGGGAATGACGGTGGTGGTGGTGGTGCTGGTGGTGGAGTTGTTACCACTGTACTGAGCATGCTTCTAACAGGGGGAAGTGGTATCGGGGGGCTAAGACAGGTAACAACCATAAAATCTTTTGTTACTCTATATCTCTGTGTTGATACAAATTGGTAATCTTGTTTTCATCTGTTTTGATAGGAGCCTCAACTCACTGCTTGTGAACCATTCGATGTCTATGCAAAGCCTTTCACTCTCTAGTAGAGAAAGACAAGTCACTTTTATGTATAGCGAGTGCGATGAGAATCTGTGCATTTATTTAACATTTTGTTTTGTTTCGTTTCAAGAGAATAAAGTAACACATTGATTCGATGCTTGAATACAAATATGTTCCATCTAATCTCGAGTCTTTACAAACAACAGGCCAATGGTTTGCCTTTCAGAATCAACAACACCCAAAGGTGTATTATCTCTACAAGAAAGGGCACCCACAAGGTCTGAATAGGCAAAAGGAAGACAAGATAATTCCCAGAAAGCGGTTGACAAGACGCACACAAATCATGTGTGCATTGCTGCAAGAAAAAGCGCTTCCGCTGTAGCAGCCTTTTCTTTGTTTGATGCCACGGCCGTTGTCTTCTAGAGCAAAGGAGGAGTTTGTCTCACCATCACTAAAGAGAAGGCACCAAAAGAAGGTACCTTTATGCAACCTAGCCATTCCCACTCCAACCTCAGTATGTGTCCTGTTTCTGAGCATCGACAAGGCTTTGTCATCTCTAAAGAGAATGTCTGAGAAGGCGACCTCTGGCGTTGCATACTTAGAGCTGCAGCCGAGGATATGGCCTGTTATGGTACTAACAGTGGGAAGTTCTACACCACAGTTGGGGGCAAAAACCTGAGTGAAGTTGTCTTCAGAGGGTTCACAGCTCAGCCTCAGAGTGTTGTTGACATTGCAATTCCCCTGGCAGGACTCAACATACTGGAGGGCCATGCAGCCAAGACCAGGACTCTCTTTTAGTTTGCCCATTTTTCGACCTGTTCTGTTCTGATTCAAGATGCTCACCATTTCACTAGCCGGGTTTACTGCAACCATTTAAAACACTTAGTCGGTATAGAGTTGTGTGTTATTTAAGGGTTTTACTTTAGGGTGTGAATCAACACATTAATCTATCATACAATCTGATTCTGAGAAGAAAAGGGGAACCTGCCTGAGAGGGAACGGCCAAAATCCAAATAGTGGACGAGAGAAATCCAAGTCTAGATTCACTTATGTTATGAGGAGATAAAGCAGACTAAAGATTTACCGTGAAGTTTGGAGTTAGCTAGCACTAAGTCTGAGAGTGAGAGCAGCAGTAAAATCGACTTCAAAAAGCTTATTACATTCTTCATTTCGGCAAAACTCTGCAGAAACTGGCGACGGAGGAGGGAAAAAAAAAAAAAAAAAAAAAAGATAAGCTTGATGGAGATGGAGGTCCCTACTTTGAGTAAGGAAGTAAAGTAACTAGGGAAAGTAACTATGTTGCATTGTTTTGCTTAGTGGTTGGCAAAGAAGGCATCTTTGAGTATTTGGGCTTTGATGTTTGGGCTCATCGAGAAAGAAGGAAAGTACGTATTTCACTTGCTTCATTTAATAGGCGGCGTTGGGGCCGGTAGAGGTCTGCCAACGACATTGATGATGAGTAAAGCCGACTTTTGGCAGGGCATCACATTCAATGCCCATTGTCCATTGGCTCTTCTCCTAACATATTTGAAGTTTGAGGTTTCCTTTACTTGAAAAAGAAAAAACAAAATTGATTAGTTGCACTTCCATTTTGGTAGAGCTGGGACCAACACCATGTGCTTCTTCCGTGCCCACATGATGATTCCTCCCCCTATATATCATGTAACACATTCTACACAAGTTACCTATCTCCCAAACCAAACGTCCTTGCTTCAAACTTCTTCGACAAGATTATATACTAGCTTAGCTAGCTCAAGCGTATCTTCGGATGGCGTCCAGGCCCGGAGCTCTGACGGAGTGGCCATGGAGTCCCCTTGGTAGCTTCAAGTACCTCTTGGTGGCCCCGTTCGTTATGGCAAGCATGCACTCGTACGTGACGGCTGAGGATGAGGAGAAGGACCTCGGGAGACTCATGATAGTGGCGCTCATGCTGTGGCGAATAGTTCACAGCCAGATATGGATCAGTGTGTCGCGTCAGAGAACGGCCATGGGGAGGAAGAAGATCGTGGACAAACCCATCGAGTTCGAGCAAGTGGACCGAGAGCGCACATGGGACGACCAAGTCGTCTTCAACACTCTCCTTATGTACCTCGCCAACATGTTTCTCCCAGGCTCCTCCCGCCTTCCCCTTTGGAGACCAGACGGAGCCATCCTCATGGCTCTGCTTCACGCTGGCCCCGTCGAGTTCCTCTACTACTGGTTCCATAGAGCTCTCCACCACCACTTCCTCTACTCTCGCTACCATTCTCACCACCACTCCTCCATCGTCACCGAGCCCATCACGTGTACGTACATTCATTTCCTTAATTATATCCTTCATATACCCATTCCTATAACTTAACTAGTTTTCACTTATTTGGCAGCTGTGGTGCACCCCTTCGCCGAGCACATCGCCTACACACTTCTCTTCGCCATACCCATAGTAACGGCGTCCCTTTGTGGAATACTCTCCATTGTTCCCGTCATTGCATACCTTACATACATTGACTTCATGAACAACATGGGACACTGCAATTTCGAGCTTTTCCCTAAGCGTCTCTTCCACCTCTTCCCTCCCCTCAAGTTTCTCTGCTACACTCCCTCGTACGTCGACTAGCTACTATACATATACATTATTTTTCTTTGAATGTGTGTATGCATATATTATATATAAGATGACATGACATTAAATATATGTTGAAGGTTCCACTCGCTCCACCACACTCAGTTCAGGACCAACTACTCTCTGTTCATGCCAATCTACGACTATATCTACGGGACTACCGACAAGGGGACCGAGTCCCTGTACGAGAGGTCATTGGAGAGAGAGGAAGAATCACCGGACGTCATCCACCTCACTCACCTCACCACACTCGACTCCATCTACCAAATGCGCCTTGGCTTCCCGTCCCTCTCTTCCCGCCCCTTGTGGTCTCGAGCCCCATGGTACCTCACTTACTTCATGTGGCCCTTCACTCTCCTCTTCTCCTTTTCCCTCACCTCCGCTCTCTCCTCCCGCACCTTTGTTTTTGAGCGAAACCGTTTCCGTAGCCTCACCCTTCACTCTCATCTCCTTCCCAAGTTTGCCTTCCACGTAAGCATTCTACATCTCTCTCTCTCTCCCTCTATGAATTTATATGGCTTCCTTGACAATCTTGAAACACATGCCTGCGGCATATTTCCGTAAAAACATTTGAGAGGCCTTATTTTATTTTAAGATGGGTTAATGTTTAACAGTTAATTTTGTTTTTTTCTTTTTTTCTTTTGGAAAAGGGTCTATGTTTGTTGTGAGCATTTATATTTGCATCGATTCAAGTTTGACTCTACTTATTTTCCAACTAGTATTTTAGTTTTTGCTTAACTTCGATCTGTTTATTTTAATTTTATAAAGTTAGACCCTTCAATTGTGTAAAGTTCTTCATTTAAATTTTTCATTTTCTTTTGATAAGATATCTTTTGTCTCCAACTTCTCTAAAAGAAATTGAACGAATTAAGCTTTTTGGTGTACTTGTAATGTTTTACTGATTGAACATACATATATGCTCTGTCATTATGTGTTTAGAAAAAGATGAAACATTAAATTTAAAAATAAAATATATAATTTTTATATATTAGTAATTATGATTTTATTAATTAGTATACTAATATTCTTCACTTATTTGGATTAATATTAATATAAAATTGTTATGTAATTGGAAATAAACATGCGGCGGCAGTATAAATCTCAGCGCCACCGTGAGACTATCAACAATATCATAGAGGCAGCTATCCTTGAAGCAGATGAAAAGGGTGTGAGGGTAATGAGCCTTGGCCTGATGAACAATGTAAGTTTTCATTTATTTTATAAATCCATCTTATATATACACTGGATAAACTAATTTATTAACACACGATTATTAAGAGGGAGGAGCTAAATGGGTGTGGAGAAATGTACGTACAAAAGCATCCAAAGCTGAAGATAAAACTAGTGGACGGAAGCAGCATGGCAGCTGCGGTGGTGGTCAATAGCATTCCAAAGGGAACCACGGAAGTTGTGTTTAGAGGCAACCCCACAAAGGTTGCTTCGGCCGCTGTCTTTGCTCTATGCCAAAGGGGCATCAAGGTATGTGATGTGTGAGTGTGAGAATGGAATCACCTCTGCCTCTTAGAAAAACATCAGTAATAATTAATAGCATGAATGGGTATGTGTATGTATATATAGGTGGTGGTGTTACGCACGGAGGAACACATAAAACTCGTCAAGTCCGGGGTCGTCAAGAATGTGGTACTGGCCACGAACAATAATTTCTCCCCAGTGGTGTGGTTGGTGGGGGATGGAATAAGGAAAGAAGAGCAGATGCAGGCGAAAGAAGGAACACTCTTTATTCCTTTCTCTGACTTCCCACCCGATGAACTCCGTGAGGACTGTTTCTACCATTCCACTCCAGCTATGTTTGTTCCCAAGTCTGCCCAAAACATTGACTCTTGTGAGGTACACAGGCTTTGAATATGTACATAGATATGTGTTACCTTAAGCTGTGCAAATATATAGTACGAAAGTTTGACTAATATTGTTGTCATATATATATATAGAATTGGTTGGGGAGGAGGGTGATGAGTGCGTGGAGAGTGGGGGGCATAGTGCATGCACTTGAGGGTTGGGAGGAGCATGACTGCGGGGAGACTCGCAACTTCTTCCGTCTCCACGCCATCTGGGAAGCTGCTCTCCGCCATGGTTTCCAGCCTATCCTTCTCCCATCATCTCATCTCTGATCTTTTCATATTCATATATCTATCTATCTCCATTCTCTTGGATACCTAGCTACTTCCCTTCCATCGAACTTTGATTGCTGTTTATCATGTTCTTTTTTAATATAAATTAGTTACTCGCTACACTTGGTTACGTTTGCTGCCACGTGGTGCATATGAATTGTTGGAAAGGGTACAAACAATAGCGTCCATTGATTTGCTTATTCAAACAAAACCAATGGTAATAGAGCTAGGAGACAAAACAAAAAACTAAATCTCTCTCTCTCTCCCTCTATGAATTTATATGGCTTCCTTGACAATCTTGAAACACATGCCTGCGGCATATTTCCGTAAAAACATTTGAGAGGCCTTATTTTATTTTAAGATGGGTTAATGTTTAACAGTTAATTTTGTTTTTTTCTTTTTTTCTTTTGGAAAAGGGTCTATGTTTGTTGTGAGCATTTATATTTGCATCGATTCAAGTTTGACTCTACTTATTTTCCAACTAGTATTTTAGTTTTTGCTTAACTTCGATCTATTTATTTTAATTTTATAAAGTTAGACCCTTCAATTGTGTAAAGTTCTTCATTTAAATTTTTCATTTTCTTTTGATAAGATATCTTTTGTCTCCAACTTCTCTAAAAGAAATTGAACGAATTAAGCTTTTTGGTGTACTTGTAATGTTTTACTGATTGAACATACATATATGCTCTGTCATTATGTGTTTAGAAAAAGATGAAACATTAAATTTAAAAATAAAATATATAATTTTTATATATTAGTAATTATGATTTTATTAATTAGTATACTAATATTCTTCACTTATTTGGATTAATATTAATATAAAATTGTTATGTAATTGGAAATAAACATGCGGCGGCAGTATAAATCTCAGCGCCACCGTGAGACTATCAACAATATCATAGAGGCAGCTATCCTTGAAGCAGATGAAAAGGGTGTGAGGGTAATGAGCCTTGGCCTGATGAACAATGTAAGTTTTCATTTATTTTATAAATCCATCTTATATATACACTGGATAAACTAATTTATTAACACACGATTATTAAGAGGGAGGAGCTAAATGGGTGTGGAGAAATGTACGTACAAAAGCATCCAAAGCTGAAGATAAAACTAGTGGACGGAAGCAGCATGGCAGCTGCGGTGGTGGTCAATAGCATTCCAAAGGGAACCACGGAAGTTGTGTTTAGAGGCAACCCCACAAAGGTTGCTTCGGCCGCTGTCTTTGCTCTATGCCAAAGGGGCATCAAGGTATGTGATGTGTGAGTGTGAGAATGGAATCACCTCTGCCTCTTAGAAAAACATCAGTAATAATTAATAGCATGAATGGGTATGTGTATGTATATATAGGTGGTGGTGTTACGCACGGAGGAACACATAAAACTCGTCAAGTCCGGGGTCGTCAAGAATGTGGTACTGGCCACGAACAATAATTTCTCCCCAGTGGTGTGGTTGGTGGGGGATGGAATAAGGAAAGAAGAGCAGATGCAGGCGAAAGAAGGAACACTCTTTATTCCTTTCTCTGACTTCCCACCCGATGAACTCCGTGAGGACTGTTTCTACCATTCCACTCCAGCTATGTTTGTTCCCAAGTCTGCCCAAAACATTGACTCTTGTGAGGTACACAGGCTTTGAATATGTACATAGATATGTGTTACCTTAAGCTGTGCAAATATATAGTACGAAAGTTTGACTAATATTGTTGTCATATATATATATAGAATTGGTTGGGGAGGAGGGTGATGAGTGCGTGGAGAGTGGGGGGCATAGTGCATGCACTTGAGGGTTGGGAGGAGCATGACTGCGGGGAGACTCGCAACTTCTTCCGTCTCCACGCCATCTGGGAAGCTGCTCTCCGCCATGGTTTCCAGCCTATCCTTCTCCCATCATCTCATCTCTGATCTTTTCATATTCATATATCTTTCTATCTCCATTCTCTTGGATACCTAGCTACTTCCCTTCCATCGAACTTTGATTGCTGTTTATCATGTTCTTTTTTAATATAAATTAGTTACTCGCTACACTTGGTTACGTTTGCTGCCACGTGGTGCATATGAATTGTTGGAAAGGGTACAAACAATAGCGTCCATTGATTTGCTTATTCAAACAAAACCAATGGTAATAGAGCTAGGAGACAAAACAAAAAACATACGTGCTGATCAAAATTAATTAGGACAAATTGAACTAATCAATAAAATGTTGACACTGCTTCTCACTCTCTCTCTCTCTCTTACATTTTTATTACCTTTTATATTTTATTGTTGAGATACTCTTATAGAAATCCCTGGATGGGATTATAATTAACCAAGTCCTTACAAAATAATATCTGGGTGCATCATAAGATCAACAATACAACCACTTAACGAGGTATTATTACTAAAACGGTCCTTAACATATGCATGGTCCATTAAACCACCTAATCAGAGGAATGGTAGGGTATTCGTACCATGTATACATTTGTGGCGGTGAGAGGTGGAGTTACTAAAAATGAAACGTAGAAGTATTCAATGCTCGCTTAGGAAGGTGTGCCTTGTTTAGTTTTCGACCCTTCATTTATTGTTGGAGCTAGCAACAGACACTAGCTGGCGCTTCAACGTGGGTGACCTTTAGTGGCTACTAGTAGTCGGCAAGGATCATTACCTAACTTGGTATTTTGATGGGAACCAACAGTCTTTCATTATACAAACTAAAATGAGGATCATTACCTAGCTTATGCATTTGCGAACGTCGTGTATATGATATGTAATCGATGGGTGGGAGGGTGATTAATTAGCTGAGTGCCATAAATTAGGATCCATGTGTAAAGCATCGAATGGGAAGAGTACATATGTTTGGTATAGGCGGGCCCCCACCACATGGAAAGTGGGCTGGTGGGAAGATAGGAGTTGGCTTCGTCATTCTGCATCTACCAAAGATTTTGATACGTACCTTCCTATATAATACACTTAGCCGTGACAAGAATTTGGAGACACACACACACATCCACATATTACATTCGACGGTATAATGGCAACAAAACCAGGGATCCTCACCGACTGGCCTTGGACACCCCTAGGGAGTTTCAAGGTGCACTCTCTGTTTTAATTTTGTCTATATAGTTTTATGGATTTTTTTTTTTTAAATGTAACTTTATGATTGAATATCCCGTTGCTGATCGATGTATGATTTGGGACGTGGAAAATATACAACAGTACATAGTAGTAGCACCATGGGCGGTCCATAGCACATACAAGTTTGTGACAGATGATCCGGAGAAGATGGATCTCGGCTACTTCCTCGTACTCCCCTTCTTGCTCCTCAGAATTCTGCACAACCAGGTCTGGATATCTCTTTCCCGTTACTACACAGCCAAGGGAGATAGGCGCATCGTAGAGAAAGGCATCGACTTCAATCAGGTCGACAGGGAGACCAACTGGTGCGTTTCAATTATTAAATTTTTGTGTACCTGCCTAGCTAGTGCTTTGTGTGAGCTGTCCATATATATATATATATATATATAATAGTATGTATTCTTGATATTTACATGCGCAGGGATGACCAGATATTGTTCAACGGACTGCTGTTCTATATAGGGATCTCACTGTTGCCACAGGCGAAGCAACTTCCCTTGTGGAGGACAGACGGAGTGTTGATGGCGGCGCTACTTCACACCGGTCCTGTGGAGTTCCTCTATTATTGGCTCCACAAAGCTCTTCATCACCACTTTCTTTACTCCCGCTACCATTCCCACCACCACTCCTCTATCGTCACTGAGCCCATCACTTGTAACTCTACTTTCTTACCTTTTTCTTTGCACAGTAGATTTTGAATTTGTTGTAACATATGTAAACTACACTTTCAACACCATAGTTAGTAGCTATTAATACTACACGTATTGATATTATGGGATTATGATCTTTGTATGCAGCGGTGATACATCCGTTTGCGGAGCACATAGCATACTTCATGCTCTTTGCGATACCATTGCTTACGACGTTGCTAACGAAAACGGCATCCATAGCGTCGTTCGCCGGATACGTAATTTATATAGACTTCATGAACAACATGGGACACTGCAACTTCGAGTTCGTCCCTAAGCGCCTTTTCGACCTCTTCCCTCCCCTCAAGTTCCTCTGTTACACTCCCTCGTAAGTCGTTTATATAATTACCCACTTTCTTATATATAGACTACATATAGAGGGACATCATCTCAAAATATTTTTTAGAAAATAGTTTTAACTAACATAATTAAGCATTAACCGAAAACATCTACTACAAAGAACTGTTCAGTTCATTTTAATTAAGTTTTCGATTATGTGCGATCACAATCTAAGCAATTTAATAAAGAGTATACTAACGTAATTGATCGACTTATCCGTGACGCAATCTTGGCCAAGAGACATCGGAAAATTTTCAGGGATCTACCAGGCTATGAGTGATCCGTAGGATATCTTCTCCTAACGTAATAATATATAGGCCCTTGTTTTTAATTTATTTTGGCAAGGAAGGATCCTGCTGGCTTAATTTTACAAACCCTCTCATTTTTCTAATAAATCAAACCTCACTGGGTACAAGTGGCTCATCATTGGACATGCATGTGCTGATGTGCATCCGGCAATGTGTATATATGCAGATTACAAGTTATAACCACTTGCATATATATACGTTCTCCTTCCCTGTATAAGGAAAAAGTGACGTGATATTGTTGCACCCTTTATGTGGTCGTCAACTACCGGATCCATGGACCACAAACAACACTATTTAATCTATATTATCTCTAAACGTATCGGCACATACTCCAACAGTCCAACTTTATACGCATTTAGAGCTTGTTTAAACATACGTACATCAACTCTGCAGCCTATATATTAGAACATTGTATATCATTTAATGTTTTTACTGTTTTTGTTTTCCGTATATTGAGCTCAGTGTTACTCCAAAGAAACAAAAGAAAAACACTTTTACTGCTATAATATTCTTCTTTTGGATAATAATAAATTGATTATGAGAGTTGCAGATACCACTCGCTACACCACACACAGTTCCGGACCAACTACTCCCTCTTCATGCCCTTGTATGACTACATCTATGGGACAATGGATGAAAACTCAGATACATTATACGAGAAATCTATAGAAAGAGCAGAAGATAGAGTGGACGTGGTGCACTTAACTCACTTGACGACCCCTGAGTCCATTTACCATTTGCGCATTGGCTTGGCTTCATTTGCCTCCTACCCCTTCTCTTATAGATGGTTCATGCGCCTTTTGTGGCCTTTCACCTCTCTCTCCATGCTCTTCACTCTCTTCTACGCCCGTCTCTTTGTCGCTGAGAGTAACTCATTCAAGAAGCTCAACTTACAATCTTGGATCATACCCAGATATAATCTACAGGTTTTCATCATCACCATCTTCAGTTTTTCGAATATATATATATAATGGGTTGGTTTACTGATGCATTGGCATGATATATGATGCATGCAGTACTTGTTAAAGTGGAGAAAAGACGCGATTAACAACATGATTGAGAAAGCGATACTGGAGGCAGATGAAAAAGGAGTGAATGTGCTTAGTCTGGGTCTCATGAACCAAGTAAAGAAAAAATATTTGACTATTATGGTTTTACGTTAGCTAGATGCCATAGTGTTAAGGCTGGTGAGTTGAAACAGGGGGAAGAGCTGAACATGAATGGAGAGGTGTATATCCACAAGTATCCCAAATTGAAAGTGAGAGTGGTGGATGGCAGTAGATTAACGGCAGCCGTTGTGATCAACAGTCTACCCAAAGCAACTACAAACGTCGTGATGACAGGCAATCTCACAAAGGTCGCCTACACCATCGCGTATGCTCTCTGCCAGCGAGGCGTCCAGGTTGTATTTTTCTCCTATAAATGTTTTAAATCTTTTGCTTGTTATGATGTCCAACTGAAAAAAGAAAATTAAATGATAGGTTTTTTTTTTTTATGTTACTAGGAGAAACTAATTATATGTTCACAAATCACTTTCACGTACCCAAGCTCTATGTATTTGTATTCTATATAAATGCTCTCATTATATGGTTCTGTGAATGTAATCCATAGGTCTCGACTCTGCGCCTAGACGAGTATGAGAAACTAAGATCATATGTTCCACGAGAATTCGTAAACCAATTGGTCCATTTAAGTTCCGAAGCACTTTCATCAAACAAGGTAAATTAAGCAATATATATATATGAAAAAGTAAAATAATTGAAGATGCTGATATATTATTGAATTATGAGTGAAGATATGGCTGGTGGGAGAAGGAATAACGAGAGAGGAGCAGGAAAAGGCCGAAAAAGGGACATTGTTTATACCATTCTCACAGTTTCCCTTCAAACAATTACGTGGAGATTGTATCTATCATACCACACCAGCATTGATGATTCCAAAATCTCTAGTGAATATTCACTCATGTGAGGTAAATAGAAAAAGCTATATCCAATCCAATTAAGTTATACTGAATATATAAAAGGTCCTAACTAATTAAGTAAACACATGCAGAATTGGTTGCCGAGGAAGGCAATGAGTGCAGTTAGAGTGGCCGGCGTATTGCAGGCCTTAGAAGGATGGGAAATGCATGAGTGTGGCACATCCTTTCGCCTCTCAGATTTGGACCAAGTATGGGAAGCGTGTCTCAGCCACGGCTTCCAACCTCTCTCGCTTCCCCATCATTAGAACTATAACCAAAACAATGGAAGATTACAAGAGCTACACGTTGTGTGCTTGTATTTTGCTATGATGCACTACTATCCACAAATATCTGTGAAACATAAAACGTAAACATTTACGAGTTACAATATATATAGTGATTAATTATGAATTACATTTCTCCATATCAAAACTTTGGTGTTTATGGAATAAATAAGAGTATTATCTATTTTGTAGTTGGTTCTGAAAATTATTTATTCACTATACTTCACAAACATTTTGGTTAGAAACCAACTGTATTAATCTAGTATTTCATACATGGAAATATAAACACATGAGCATTGATAATTCTTACAATGAAAAATGTTTTGATTAGTTTATTCTCGTTTGATGATTTTGGAAAAACCTCAAAATTTATCAGTTTTTTTTTTAAGAATATGTGGGCTAATAACCTCCTACGAGCTTTCACATATTTTGAAAAATTTGGAAAATATGTTATTAGATTTTCTTAGATACTCTTTTAAGATAAAAAATGCTCGGATCATAAATATATTATATTTATTAATTTTGAAAGACATCAAAATTTATGAGTTTTTTCAAAATATGTGGGATAACCCCTATGAATTTTCACACATTTTGAAAAAAATTGAAATAATATGTTATTAGGCTTTCTTAGATATTTTTTTCAAGAAAAGTGTTTGTATTAATTTATTTTCGTTTGAGACACATTCTATTCAATGATTTAGAAAAACCTCAAAATTTGTCAGTTTTTTCAAAATTCGTAGGTGTTAGCCCACAAATATTGGAAAAATTGATAAATTTTGAGTGTTTAAAAAAAAAAAAAATTAATGATTGTAAGGTGTATAAAGTAAAATTAAATTGATCCTACCATTTTTCATAGTAAAATAGTATATAAGAAAGAGTATGTTATTACATATAAAGTAAAATTAAATTGATCCTACCATTTTTCATAGTAAAATAGTATATAAGAAAGAGTAATAACATACTATTCCAATTTTTTCAAAATTTGTCAAAACTCGTAGGTGTTAGCACACAAATATTGGCAAAATTGATGAATTTTGAAGTTTTTCTAAATTAATGATTGGAAGGTGTCTAAAGTGAAAATAAATGGATCCAACCATTTTTTATAGGAAAATAGTATAAAAGAAAGACTAATAACACACTATTCCATTTTTTTCAAAATTTGTCAAAACTCGTAGGTGTTAGCCCACAAATATTGGCAAAATTGATAAATTTTGAAGTTTTTATAAATTAATGGTTGGAAGGTGTCTAAAGTGAAAATAAATTGATTCAACAAATTTTCATAGGAAAAGAGTATCTAAGAAAGATTAATAACATATTATTCCATTTTTTTAAAAATTTGTAAAAACTCGTAGGTGTTGTTAGCCCACAAATATTGGCAAAATTGATGAATTTTGAAGTTTTATAAATTAATGATTAGAAAGTGTCTAAAGTGAAAATAAATTAATCCAACTATTTTTCATAGGAAAATAGTATCTAAGAAAGACTAATAATATATTATTCCAATTTTTTAAAATTTTTTGTCAAAACTCGTAGGTGTTAGCCTACAAATATTGGCAAAAATTGATAAATTTTGAGGTTTTTCTAAATTAATTATTGGAAGGTGTCTAAAGTGAAAATAAATTGATCCAACAATTTTTCATAGTAAAAGAGTATTCCATTTTTTTCAAAATTTGTAAAACTCGTAGGTGTTAGCCCACAAATATTGGGAAAATTGTTACATTTTAAGGTTTTTCAAAATTAATGATTGGAAGATGTTTAATATGAAAACAAATTGATCCAACCATTTTTCATAGTAAAAGAGTATGTGAGAAAGCCTAATAACATATTATTCCAATTTTTCAAAATTTGTAAAAACTTGTAGGTGTTAGCCCACAAATATTGGTAAAATTGATAAATTTTGAGTTTTTCCTATATAATGATTGGAATGTGTCTAAAGTGAAAACAAATTGATCCAACCATCTTTCATTTTTTTTTTGTCGTCTAGAATTTTATTAGAATGAAAGTGTTACATGGTGTTACACACCTAACACCTACCCAAACAAACAGAGCTGGCGGATATCAAGAGATCCCGAGAAATTAAGCCCATACAAAGGGAAACAACCAATTAAACTAAAACCACAACTAATCTAGATCCAAAACAAGAATCAAGAAGAAGCAGTTTAACCCTAAGACATCATTAACCTCCTTGCAAAACCGCACAGAACAACACCAAATAGAACTAAAACCTTACCGAAGCTGTCCATGCCCACGGGCCAAACCTTCGGCATCGAAGTCCTCCTAGTAACCTGCTTTTTGATTCTAAAAATCAAAACTTCTTATCCGGCCAGACAAACACCCGATGTGAGTTCTCCCGGAAGCGGTGGAGTCGACGACACAACTAGATACACCTAGGAAGAAGCCTTTTAGGAGATCACGATCAGATCGGTAAAGCAGCGTCATTGAGCGAATTGTCAAACCCGGGTAACATCGACCTCCAAAGAAGAAGCACGACGTAAGATCGAACCGGCGAGAGACCAAACCTGTAACCACAAAATCAAGGTGAGAGACGACGCCCAAGGAGGAGCCAAGAGTCACCGGAACTCAGATTAGCAAAAGATCTACGTCGAAAAATCGAGGATCAAGACGTTCACGGTAAAACGTCCGAAGATCCATTGGATCCGGCGTCTTGAGTCTCGATTCAACCCAGATCTAGACCAGATCTGATAACTAAACTACGAAATTCGATTTCTGACAGAAAATGATCTAAGAAAAGGTGGAGATTACAAAAGAGCGAAACACAAGAGAGAGAAGCAAGAATTATGAAAAAAGTGAAATATGAAATTGTAATAATTTTTTTACAACCAATAAGTTCAAATTGAGGGATTTTTTATGTTGAGATTTTTTTGAAAATTATTATCATGTTTTAGGGTTTAGGGTTTAGGGTTTAGGGTTTAGGGTTTAGGGTTTAGGGTTTAGGGTTTAGGGTTTAGGGTTTAGGGTTTAGGGTTTAGGGTTTAGGGTTTAGGGTTTAGGGTTTAGGGTTTAGGGTTTAGGGTTTAGGGTTTAGGGTTTAGGGTTTAGGGTTTAGGGTTTAGGGTTTAGGGTTTAGGGTTTAGGGTTTAGGGTTTAGGGTTTAGGGTTTAGGGTTTAGGGTTTAGGGTTTAGGGTTTAGGGTTTAGGGTTTAGGGTTTAGGGTTTAGGGTTTAGGGTTTAGGGTTTAGGGTTTAGGGTTTAGGGTTTAGGGTTTAGGGTTTAGGGTTTAGGGTTTAGGGTTTAGGGTTTAGGGTTTAGGGTTTAGGGTTTAGGGTTTAGGGTTTAGGGTTTAGGGTTTAGGGTTTAGGGTTTAGGGTTTAGGGTTTAGGGTTTAGGGTTTAGGGTTTAGGGTTTAGGGTTTAGGGTTTAGGGTTTAGGGTTTAGGGTTTAGGGTTTAGGGTTTAGGGTTTAGGGTTTAGGGTTTAGGGTTTAGGGTTTAGGGTTTAGGGTTTAGGGTTTAGGGTTTAGGGTTTAGGGTTTAGGGTTTAGGGTTTAGGGTTTAGGGTTTAGGGTTTAGGGTTTAGGGTTTAGGGTTTAGGGTTTAGGGTTTAGGGTTTAGGGTTTAGGGTTTAGGGTTTAGGGTTTAGGGTTTAGGGTTTAGGGTTTAGGGTTTAGGGTTTAGGGTTTAGGGTTTAGGGTTTAGGGTTTAGGGTTTAGGGTTTAGGGTTTAGGGTTTAGGGTTTAGGGTTTAGGGTTTAGGGTTTAGGGTTTAGGGTTTAGGGTTTAGGGTTTAGGGTTTAGGGTTTAGGGTTTAGGGTTTAGGGTTTAGGGTTTAGGGTTTAGGGTTTAGGGTTTAGGGTTTAGGGTTTAGGGTTTAGGGTTTAGGGTTTAGGGTTTAGGGTTTAGGGTTTAGGGTTTAGGGTTTAGGGTTTAGGGTTTAGGGTTTAGGGTTTAGGGTTTAGGGTTTAGGGTTTAGGGTTTAGGGTTTAGGGTTAGGGTTTAGGGTTTAGGGTTTAGGGTTTAGGGTTTAGGGTTTAGGGTTTAT